GCTTGTGGATAAAAACTGTTAGCGTAACGAGATGTCCTGCATCTCAGAGAAGCTGGAACATGGCTTTCCCAGGGTGGCCAGAAGAGTCATTGACAATCCTAAGAGCTTTGTTTAAAAGTCTGGATTTATAAAGAACCTCCAGAACAGGAAGCTCACAGCCCACGGTCCTCTGGTGATGTGTGCTCGTCAAATAAGACAAGAAAGTTTTGTTCAAAAAATGTGTTCCTAAATTCCTCCTATACCTTTAACACCCCCTATCGTCTGAAAAATGGCTTCTGAAAACATATGAGCACACTGTACATACAAAATAGGGTTAGGGCAAAATCAAATTCTGCAATGAGAACCTATGTGTAGGAGATTCTGTATGCTGCACTGCTTGACATTATTGCCCTGTGTATTCCTTGCACATTCCTTTTTCAAAACAACATCTATTTATCAACTGCTGCCTTTATATTTTTGTTTAGTGTTCACAAGGGTTGTGTTTGCTCACGACCCAAAAAAAACAATAAGCATCCCTCACTCTTTTGCAACTTAGTTTTGCCCTTACTGCTGCTACTGTTCAGTAAACACAAGCTTGACCCCATTGTGCTCACGAGGCCAGGGCTTATTTACGTGATACCATATTTTATTTACAAAGATTTTATGCATACACAAAAGCAATTCTGTGTGTGTATCGTATGTTGACTTGATTTAGTGGAGTGGGACTGTTCATGCATAGCACGCACCATGATAGATGAGTCCTACTAACCACCAGAGCACTAGATATGAGATATGTATTATGCCGCAGTAACAAACAGGCGGGGTGGGTGTTTCATACTGTAGATTGGATTAGATATATACGGTTGGCTACATTCTGTTTGCTCGATGGCTAAAAGGCAATTATTGTTCAAGATTAAAGCTGCATTACCTCACTTTATTTTTGTATTCATTACGAAAATTCAATCCATATCCATGCAATGCAATGGGATATACGTCCTTTTGAAGAAAAAGTAGCGCAGATTTGTGCTGCTGTGTCATTTCATTTTAGATTGAGTTTTCGGAAACAAGGAAGAGAATGTGTTTCGGGTCTAGATTGTGACCAATCACAGCGGACCACTGGCCCCCACTTTCTTGAGAAAATCTACAGGTCTCTGGTTAGCACAGACAGCTGAGGTAAACAGGCGGTGGAGGCTAACCTGAAGCTTCCCGTGTCTTCGTTACTGCTTACACAGCAAAACATCCATCCAAAAGAAAGTCTCATCCTCGCCGCGCTTCCCGGTTCAATCATTCTATAGTCACGCCATCCACGTGCAAATGTGGATCCATATTGTGAGACGTGAGCTCCGTATGCAAATAACATGAGAGCATAGGCTGAGGGGGAGGGGGGTAGTGGGGGCGAAAGTTCCGTGGGTGCGGGGACTTTGAACATTTCGCAAAGTCAGTTAGTGCAACTTTAACAACATTTTTTTTTACCATGTGTTGAAAGAGTCCCTATTCTTCTTTTTCTATTTCCCTTTTTGGTGGTGGAAAAACATCTTTTTGGTGTGCATTTAAAATAATTCCTTATTATAATATTTGTATAGGGTGATGCTAGCTTGGAGCTGAAGGACCCACGTGCTCAGGGCATTCTTACGGTACTGCACACTGCCAAGACTTTATTCATGTGGGCTACCCAGAAATGTTCCCCATTAAACTCAATGTAAACTAAAACAGCTCAACCTCAGCTGACAGAAAGATCTGATTTTTTTGGGGATTTTTGGGGGTGGATCACTGCAGAGGGTTTGAGCATGTTGTACTATAATGTTTTGTGCTGTGTACATAATGTATATGGTGTTTTTTTGTTTTGTTTTTTGGTTTTATAAGTGTATATCCATAATTGCATATATTACATTTGGGTGTGGGTTTTAATTGTGTTCATTGGAGGTTTTAGATAATTTCAATAAACTAAAATTAAAGTGATCATCCCTGTGTGTTGCGTTTACCCAGTCAGTGGCACGGTATAAAAAGGTGGCTTTACCGTCACATGCTTATTGGCTGCTGGAAACACAGCTTCTTTACCTCATTTTTTTTTGACAAAATGCACTTTGCAAATGATTTAGAATCCAAAAATGTAAATTGTTGACCATGCCATTGCTGTATGTTATCTTGCCTCTCTCATACAACTGCTAAAAGCCAGATTTTGATACAGCTGGGTTCCGAGTGTATTCTGTAATTGTAACAAATTTGGGGGGTAAAGGACCAGGGCATTATTTAATTAAGCAACGTCAATCAATCACAGTGGTAGAGCTTATGCATGTAAATACAGGTGAAACTCTGAAAATGTGAATATCATTCAAAAGTCCATAGAGTTCTCTTATCCAACTTAACATGTGAAACTAAGTGAAGTGGGTCTCTCACAAAGACGTATTCTCCTGCTTGGAAGGGTTTGTTGAGAGTGAACTGGTAAGATTATACTATACACTTCCATCTTTGTGGTTTCAAAATTGAGAAATGCAGCTTTAGGGCTAAAATACAATAATTCAAACACTGAATCATAATGGCAGAAGATCAGTGGACAATTTGTAACACTTATCCATCAAATACATGTTTACACCTACATTGCATCAGTGATTCTATCCCATTGCTTTGAACGCAAAGTCTCTAACTATAAATTTGTTATTGGTTCCAGAGGAGAAACTAGACCCGGCTCAGACAAATTACTGAGCAAAGCTTCCACATTACACATCAAAGTTAATGCATGCAAGGCAACTAATTAAATTAAAGGACAGCCAGAGTGGTTACTGCAGCGTGATGGATGAGAAGGCACACGGAGGATGGTGTAATATGCCCATGAATGATTGAGAACAATGGTGTTAAGCCCCGGCACAAAAGAAAGGCCCAAACTGACAACACGTATGAAAGACGTGTGTGTAAATGTATAAGCTATACATAATAATCAGATGGAAAAGCTGGGGAGATGCAAAGAGACATACCCTCACTCAGCCGCCAATCAGAAAATTAAGTGAATCCAGTGTTCTTTCTTTCTCACTAGTATGGCCATGGCATGGATCTAAATCTATATGAATGAATGAATGAATGAAAAGTTTTTATTATTGTGTCTTACATACACACTGTATGCCCAGCCCTAATGGGCTTATAAGACACCAGTAACACCAACAAAAGCACCAGATGCCAGACAATAGGCACACTATACAATACATAAACTTATTTAAACAAACAAGTCTGCCGCCTCAACCAGGCTTTACAAACAAAAGAAGCCAATTTAAACACATTAGAAGTAAACAACCATTTCATCTTGTCGTCATCACTGATCCAGAACATTTCAGGCTTTTGAACAAACAATTCACCAAACAATACATTTCTAAGATCATCGTACTGTGGACAATATAACACAAAATGAGTTTCACTTTCAATCTCTCCTAACTCACACAGTCTACAGAGTCTGTCCTCTTCAGGAGCTTGAGTGAACCTGCCAGTTTCTATGGCCAGGGGAAGGATGCCAGTTCGCAGCTGAGCCATCAAAGATCTTTGGTTCCTTGTCAGGTTTGCCTTTACATACAACTCAGTTTCAAATACATCTTTAATTTGTAAGTAAGTCTTTAGCTTTGGCTTTGGATTCTATATATATCACTCTAAATATGTACAGTATAGATATATCTCACTCACTTTCGCCCATTTCTCATCAAAGTTCTCTGGTTCCCATCCGACACACACCTTGTTTAGTCGGGCTACGTCTGAGCTGGCATCTCATTGTTTGACCTTGAAGCTGGAGGAGTGGTTACAGCAGATGAAACAACCTCGGAAATCTCTATCCATAAATGTGCAGTGCTAGGAACAGCAGAACCCTCAAGCTCCCTGGCCTCTGGTAGAGAACCCAAGCTGAGAGAGGGATAACTGCCCACGGAGGGTTAACGTAGCATTTTTTTTGTGTGCGCAAAAAGGCACCCAGGATGTCTTGATGTGATATATTTATATACGTTAGATGTGATAAAAGGTTCAATAGCAAATATCTCATTGATGAGAAAGAGTAATCACAAACAGCAGAGAATCACCCAGGGCAGAATATATCCTGTTAATGAATGTTTGTTCCTTTGATTAATAATCTAAAAAGAGATTTGACTTTGAATTCAACAACTGCAACTCATTATGAAACTCATTTACACTTTCAATATACATGCCGGATGAACAGGGAGGAAATAAATAGTTTTTCATTTAACTCATTGTGTGCAGTGTTTACTGATCGGTAAGCACTGGACATAGTGGCATATGGTGTTGCAATCTCAGAATATCTGTGCCATAAACTATGCACAAGAAGAAACAATATATAAAAGGGGTGAATAGAAGCATACTGTGTTTAATGTTTTAATATTTGTGATTATATTTTTAGTTTGACCTTGATTTATGTGTATGCTAGTTTATAGCTGATGGTGGAAATAGTATTATCATAATCTGTATTCTTGAAATGTGTGTTTATTTGCAAGCTAAAGATACCTTTCTGTCACCAATACACATGATAAACAATAAAGAGGATTTTCTATTCTATATTTTTTGTGAATCAATAAGTGTCAGTAAACACCACAAGGTATATTTCAATAACAGCTAAGTGTCCATAGACAGATTTTTTGGTGAATCTAACCCATAGTATACTCAATATGATAGGTTCGCAAGGATAAAGCCCGAACTGTTCGCCCTCCTTCTGGTGGCATAGCTTTACTCTCACCCTGACCCATGACATCAATTTACAGCAGTGCTATCCTTTTGACTTTTGTCTCAAGCAAAAGCACATCAGGCCATGTCAAGCTGATAAAAGACTCTCCACAAGCTTGCTTATTCTTTTCTGCATTCTCCTCTTGAGTTTATTAGATGATAAAAATCCTCTTCTGCGCTGATTAAATGCAGCGCTGGATAACCTTCCCTTCAGCAAGGTAAGCGTCTCCCCGGAGCAGTGAGCATGTGTGTCATTGTGTTTGTGAAGGCATGCGAATGTGGCACAAGGAATAACCAGCGTCTAATTAGTCCAATTAATCCTCCATCATGAAGCACACTTACAGAGAGCAAGATTTGTGCTTAGAGTCTTGGACAGGCTCTAAAGTAGATGTATCCAATTTTAGGAAGGCACTACATCGTTGGATCGCACCTTTAGTTATTGATACATGCGTTGAACAAATATATATTGTCACGAGTCAAGCAGGAACACGAAAGGACAAGACTATAAGACAGACTATATGTTAATGAAATCCAAAAATGGAATGATCCTTGCGCTCTTGGGCCGCGTTTATACGGAGGCGTTGCGCAGACTTTGCCAAGGTCGAACAAAGTAGAATCCTCCTCCCTGTAGCGCTCGAAGCACACGTAGCTAGTTAGTTTACCCGCCGCCGTTGTTGTTTACGTTTGTTCTCGGCAACTGCGCATGTCCAAATTTATGTGCGGGGAGCAGCGGGGAGGTGGGGGTCAGATCAGCAGCAGAGAATTCACACCTTTTTCCCTCACGTGGGTGTGAAAAAGCGCCCGGCTGAGCAGCCGGATCTTAACTCTTACGTTTTCACCCCCCTGAAACACAGTCTCCGTATGAACGGGGGGTAGCAACCGTCATCCAACTATAGCGTTTTACTGCCGCATTGTCTCCGTATAAACGAGGCCTTGGTCTTGTGTAGGTGTTTGCCGATTTTGTCAAATGTTAATTGGTTCGTCACTAACACATATAGTGTTAGTTCCATCTGACAGTATGATTTTTGGTTGTATTTTCTTCACCTGCCTTAGGACAATGGATGTGTTGAAGCTTTTGTGCTAATCCTATCCTACATCTTATTCCCGCAAACATTTTTAAGTAGTGCATGTGAATCAATATCTGACATGTTGATTCACATGCACTGTCCTAATATAAAGATGCCAACATAAATAAATAAACTTAACTTTAAAAACAAAAATAAAAGAAACAAGCAAACTTAAAAAACACACCATCAACACAGCATCACAGCACATGTTTTGAACAATGCTACCTTTTGTGAAAGTATTAGAGGCCAAGCATGAATCATGTATCTTAAGTAGTTCTTGGAAGATTACAAAATGTAATGATTGATCTTCCACGAACACACTGCAGTTATGTGAAACACAGGGGATTATCAAAAAACAGAAATTCTGACTTGCATTCAAAATCTTCTCATGCAAGTAAGAAAACCTCATTTGAAAGACCTTGCTTTTTAATTAAAGGGGAAAAATATATAACACATTCTCTGTCAAGTGATTCTTGGTGCATCAAAGGCCAACAGCAAGCAAAACTTTTTGAAGCGAGTCTCATAAATACATAAATACAACACTGAAACTGTCATCTTCCATTTGATGCTTTTGTACTAAAACACAATTTGCAAAAAAATAATGAAACCCTAAACAAATAGCAGTATCCCCTTGTGATACCACAACATGTCCTCTCACAACCAAAACACTTGCAAATGAGCTCTATCTTACCTTGTCGAACGTCTCTCGGGGCTATTGCGATGGCGTCATTGGAGTGCAGCTCTGTGACACAGCAGTCATCAGGAACCATAGATCCATTACTGAAGGTATGAGGAGTCTCCGGGAGCAGAGGAACTGCTGGGGCCATGATGTTATGATTGGGACAAATGCACCCGGTTTGACTCATCCCACAGCCATCGCCGTCCGACACTTCCTGGTCCCCATTGTGTCCTGTCCTCAAGCATTCCTCAAACCAACGGCAAAGAACGCCGCATGTAAATTGACTAGAGTTCTCGTTATTTATAAGTAAGATCTCAACCAATCTCAGCTCTTGCAATTCCTTAGATACCTGAGGCTCGTCACCGGTTGGATGTTTTGTTAGACAAAGTTGGACAAAGTTCTTATCAAATTGTAAGAATGAGTATGGTCCCTCAACGGATGATTTATTCCCACATAGTTCAATAACGTCATGTTCTCTAGATAAGGAATTTTCCAGTTGTGTTGGACAGCTCTGATTGGGCAGGTGATGATCCAGGGAGAGCAGCATAGGCAAGTATGTCCGACATATTGTAGGATGGCGGGTGAAACGGAGGTAGAGGGAATACTTTGTGGGATCAGGGTTTTCCAGAGACCATGAACACCCTGGCGCTTTGGAGGGGAAGAGTTCTCTTAAAGAAAATGACCCATAGAGTACCCCAGTGACCAAGCTGGAGCATGGCGAAGTGAGGGGCAGCGAGGGTCCCTCTGCTCCGCCACTTGGGACGCCGCTGGTGGGCCCGTTAGCCACCTCTGCTAGCGCGGAGAGGGGAGCGAGTGCAAGGGCATACACAGCAGCCAGAGCCCCAGCCACGGCCAAGAGAGATGACAGCACAGACAGACACACCCCGCCAGCAGTGTTCATCCTATGACATTGGTCCTGCAAGAGACACAAGAAAAAGAGAAGGGAATAGAAGTCAGTGGGGTGAATCTAACTGAAACAACAATAGTAAATACATTCGCAGTAGAAACAACAAGTGCCAATCAAATGACAGCCTGCAGTATGTTAAGCATGGAAAGTTGCTTGATCTGTGCCCATTTGCCTTAACATGTTCATAACATGACTTCCGCCAATAGAAGCAGCGTGAGTTGGAGAGAAGTCTTTAGGAGTTAGTGCGCGGACGTAGTGCTCCTCGTATTACTACGCCTCACAATATAGTACCCCTTTTTATCCGCTGAGAAAATCGACATGTAAAATTTCTGTGTTACCATACTTTGTAATGTAACACGTCACGTAACTGTATTTAAATAGGGAACACGGAAGAGTTTGGTAGCTTCTAACGGGAGCTGATTTGGAACTATACAGTATGTGGAAGAGGCTGCATTTGTGCTCCGTTTGCATGACAGAGCGCACGGACAAAGACCAGACAGGTTCATATCAACTAGTCTAAGGTAAGGTAAGAACATATGTCAGTATGTAAAAACAGTGGCCTATTCCTTTAATGTTGTGGCGATAAAGGCAATGTGCGATTGAGTGTCCCATAATGCTGAAATTGATTAGATAAGAACATGCACAAATAAGGGAAAATGCATCGCACGAATAAAAACCAAAGCTACCTGGACTTGTTTGAATGTGCAAGTTATGGCGGAGAGAGTCTAAGCATCACTGTTATAATGCTTTAATTTTGTGCACCATTTGGCAGCAGTGTATGAGTGTATCATTTTTGAAACCTTCGACACCGTTTTTTAAGTGAACTCTTCCTGCTGCCCCACACACACACAGCCAAAAGCACAAGCACCTCCCCGCAGGGCAGGATTAAAAGGGTTGATGACTTGGCTGTTGAGACATGAACTGTGGGGCCTTTACTTGCTGATGTGTGCACGCTCGCACATGGGAACACATGCACGCTCATCCACCGAACACACCGGGCTGCCCGCTGAGTCGCTCCCCTGAAGCTTCGGCAAACTATTACCATCATGGACACAGCAAGGGCCCAGCAGCATCATTTCTCCTGGCACAATATGGTATAAGAAAAATATCATGAATGCAATGGATACGTTTGGAGTCCTTGTTTCACATAATTTGGCACGTTCTAATGGTGTATAAAATTGTAAATGGTAATGCTGTATATCAACAAAAATAAATACTTCTTAATAGGGAAAGGTGACAATGAAGAGGAGGTATGAACTGGATGGGAGGTTTGAATATTTAATCATCGGGATTGAATTGAATTAAACAGATACTGCTTTGTGCTTCATAACACTGGTGTTGTCAACCAAGACTAAAGAACACAACATTTAGAATAGATTGGTAGAAACATAATGATAATAATAATGCATAGTGCTTGAATATTATTTTTCCTGACACCCAAAGACTCTTCGCATTATACAGTACATTCACTCCATTTACTGTCGTGGCTAACTATTACTGTAGCCATTGCCCCAGGGCAGACTTTCAGAAGCAAGGCTACTAATCTGTGCCATCGACCCCTTTGACCACCTCCAATCATTCACGCTTACACCAGCCTCAAACAATACAATATTCACCCTTATACCAGCCTCAAACAAGACAATATTCACGCTTACACCAGCCTTAAAAAAAGACAATATTCACGCTTACACCAGCCTTAAAAAAAGACAATATTCACGCTTACACCAGCCTTAAAAAAGACAATATTCACGCTTACACCAGCCTTAAAAAAAGACAATATTCACGCTTACACCAGCCTCAAACAAAACAATATTTGCGCTTGCACAAGCCTCAAACAAGCCAATAGTCACGCTTACACCAGCCTCAAACTATACAACGTTGGTGAACAAAAGTACTTTAAACTCGCAGCCAACCTATTGTGGCACCTGGTGTCCCCAGAGGTCCCCCATCATACTTCTAACCAGGCCCCACCTTACTTAACTTTGGGGTCTCATGAGATCAGCTTTTCATGTGCAAGTGGTGCCGCTAACTGCATTGTATTTGTCTCATAATCCTCTGCAATGTTAAAAGGGGTTGGTCAAAAAGAAAGCTACAAAACTGCACAAATACATCCGCAATCCTTTGGCAAAAAACAAACTTGATTAACAAAATGCAATGCAATGTCTCTCTATTTCTTTCCATTTCTATTTTCTTCATACCTATTCACACACACCTATGCTTCCCAAGGCTTTGGTTAATGAAACTCATACTGTCGCCGGCAGAGCACTGGATTTATGGAGGCGGATTGAGGAGCGGGAAAAGCAGACATCGTGTCCACCGGGCTCTGGGTAAGGGGTGGAGGGGGGCTACTATGTCAAGAGGTGAGCGCACACAGGCAGGACAGCGAGAGGCACTTGGGCTTACCGTGGCAGCTCGTAATGACACGTAAAAGCACATGAAAGCAAGATGGAGGGCTTTTGAGCAAGGTAGAGCACTGCCGGGGATAAAACAGGGAAAGGTCAATTTGTGAGTGAACAATACGGTATGGTTTAATGGCAGATTGTCAAGATTTGAGTGATCTATAAGAATATGTCAACGGAATGAATGTGTAGTTAAGCAGGGAGACAAAAAAGCATTAGCATGAATGATTGTGATGATCTGTTCGTTGCCATGTCAGCACAGCAACACACTGGCAAATAGCTTATAGTTTCAATGATGATGTACGATAATTGCCAAAAAGTGTTACGGTAAGACGTGTAACCTTGAGTTGCATACGTCTTCAGGTGTAACAAAATCGAGGACATGTTAAAAGTAATAAATATTGTTTTGTTGCTACTTTCTTCAGAGATTTAGGGACAATGCTAAGGAATTATGTGCACAAGTCTGGCAATAAGTCTCCTATCAAATACCTATAAATATATGTATGATCTCATTTTAAACTGCGTGGCAAACCAAAATGACAACGTTCTATTTGTGAACTCTGCCTTTTATAAAAGAACAAATAACAGTTGTTTTTTTTTCCATTCCACTGATGAAAACTACATGGCGAAATTCCATCTACTGCATGATTGCACGATTGTTTATCAAGGTTGACACAAAGCCTTCAATTTACACCCATTTCCAAATACTAATCAAAAGTAACATCATCCTTGGCAACTGTAAAAGGAGTAGCCATGGCAACACAGCATCACCTAACCTGGAAATGTATTTTTTGTTATTTTGTTTTGCCGTTTGTGGTTGCCTTTTGCTACCTGCCTTTGTTTCTGTCTATTGTCAGAGATTGGGTCTGCACAAGGTTCTCATCTGCGATTTTTCTCATGGCACGCGTGACGTGAAGAGGGTTTAAACAGGGCTGCTGCGGCTGCACTGACACTTTGACAAATGCATGGAAGACTTGGGTTGAGGGAAGACTAATGTACCATATTGTGAAATACGCCCAAGGACACAACGCCATTTGCTCCGTATGAAGCCATTTGCTCCGTATGAAGAGGTTATATTCTCTGTCACTATACATGGTCTCACAACTCTAAATGTGCATAGATCGCTAATGAAATGCTGCCATGTCAGGAAATGTACAGCCTACGTTTAATCCGTGTGTTTGGCTCTGAGAGACACTGATTCATTCATCCGCATGGATACTGAGCTAAATTTGAAAATCGCTTCTCATGTCCCAAATCTGAGTTCTTCCCACTGGACAGTTTCATTGTGGACTCTTCCATGTTCAGGTGCATTCTTCTGCACACATAATGAATGTATTGAGAGCCTTGGAGTGTCGGGCAAATTGTTTTTTGGGACAATGAACACTGAATATTCATAAAGTCACAGCCTGTGTAAGACTAGGCCCTAAAGTGCTGTCTTCATGAGGCCATTCTGTCCCACTTCAGTCTAAAACAGCACTTTACTGTGGGCATGTATAAATATTCATTAGCTTTGATGTCTTCTATTCTACTACACCTTGACATTAATGTTATCAGTCAGCATGGGGAAATATGTATGTGTCTTTGTTGTCTCTCCCTCTCCTCAGGGTCCCTCGTGGACTCTCTAAAGCACAAGTGACAATCTGAGTCATCTGATTCTGACTCTGCGGTGTTCTTCATGCAAAAACACAGAGATGGGACTGAGAACGTCCTCCTTAATTATTCCAAGGCTGTAGAGAACATTACAATGCACATCTCCACACTACTGCAAACCATTCCACTGTGACTCAAAATCTAGAAGCACTATTCCAAAGTAAATCAGCATTTAAATAGACACCCGGCTGAATGAGTTTGTATCTGTGTCTCCCACACAGTGAGCTTCCTGCTGAGGGAAAAGAAAATGGAACTATTGCCAATTTGATTACTCTCTGTGGGGTTAGAAAAGCCCAGAGGGAGATAGTGAAACCTACTGTCAACAAGGACAAACATGTTTAGGACACAGAGTTGTCAAAATACTCAGTTTCAAACTGTATATAGTAGAAATTACTCTGTACCTGATTTGATACCACAGCAATATGTTGTAGCTAATTTTTGACTGTAATTTTAACCCAAAATAATCATACTTTTTACTAGATTAAACATCTACTTTAAGATGTGTCAAATAATATATGAATACAATGTTGTCCTGTTTTTGTCATTGCAACCGGATAAATCTTTTTTTTTTGTTATATATTTTTGACCTTCATCTATTGTCTGAAACAGTATAAAAATAATAATAATGATAATTTTACTTATATAGCACTTTAAAAAAAAGAGACAAAGTACTTCACACAACCCCACTAAGTGCTTATTCCCCAAATGAAATAAAGTAAACTAAATAACTGCAAAAAATGTCTATGAATGCACGAAAACAACAACAAATTGTTAATAATCAGCTATGTATATATATAAAAAAAATACATATAAAGAAAATACATACAAAGACAGCAGAGGTCCACACAACTCAAGCGGTGTTAAAAACCAGAGAATAAAAGTGGGTCTTCTGATGAGACTTACGACATTCCACCTGCATGAGCTCTCTGCTTTCCCATCTCTACA